AGATAGATAGATAGATAGATAGATAGATAGATAGATAGATAGATAGATAGATAGATAGATAGATAGATAGGGATGGATGGATGGATGGATGGATGGATGATAGGTAGATAGATGATAGACAGACAGATATAGATAGGTAGATGATAGGTAGGTAGATAGGTAGATAGATAGGGATGGATGGATGATAGGTATATAGATGATAGATGATAGATAGATGATAGACAGACAGACAGACAGATATAAGGTAGATGATAGAAAGGTAGATAGGTAGGTAGATAGATATGATAGATGACAGAAATGGTAGATAGATGCTAGATGGATGGAGAGAGGGAGAGAGGGAGAGAGGTAATAGATACATGCAATGCTGTCCTAAAGTAAAGTAATGAAAATATTAGTTGTAAGTGATTAAGCTGAAATCCCTCTAGGAGTCACTAATCTTAAGTGTCTATTTTTTTTTCTCTTTTGCAAGCACAGTACCTGTTCCTTAGGGAGAGACAGGAGGACAATGATGACATGTGTGTAATGATTGCCAGCGTGTTCTCTGCTTGCCCCTTCCTTGTTCCACTAACCATCGCTGACCCTCCATACTATTATGGTTTTGATTTGGTTTTGTAATCTGGTTTTAAAGGGTTTATTGATTTTTTCTGGATGTTTGTACATCGTTTACTGTGGCTTTTGTTCGGTTGTCTCATTAGCTGAGCTGCCTACAGTCCCAGAGACAGGCAGCTACACAAATCAAAACGATAAATAAATATGATCTGTGCGTAGACCTTTCTGACTACTTGAAATAAGAATAGCAGGAGTAGGAGACACTGGATTTCCTGAGGAGAATTTAAAAAAAAAGAAGAAGAAGAAGGAGTAACATTTCTGTTTTCCTGCAGATAATTTTTTTTTTAAACAAGAAATAACATGTCTGTTCTTTAATATCTCGGTGAAGGCATATGGACAGCAGCATCCAATGAAAGATTTGGTAGGCTTGGCAGATGAATAAAACACAGCTGTCCTATTACCTCTTGTGTCAGATTTCGCTTTGCTATTTCCACTTCTCTCTGAAGCTCCCTTCGCCTCTCTAATATTGTCGCATCGTCTTTAGGGATAGCAGCATCTAACTGTACAACGGGGGAAGAAAAGAAGGTTATGTACAAAAAAATGAGGAAAGTGTGTTATTTTAATATAACCAATGCCATATTTATGCATGAGCTGAATCTTTAAAAAAACAAATAAATCAGAAACCAGCAACTGTAAGTTGCAAAGTTTGGGGACCGCTGATATAATAGAAATTGCTCTCATAGATTCGGAAATCTTAAATTTATATAATTCCCCCCGCCCACACACACACAAAAAAACAATCAAATATCTATTGTATGACATCCAGGGGTGGGATTCTACCAGTTCGGACCGGTTCAGGTGAACTGGATGTTAAATTTGCATCTGGTTCGCCAAACTTGTATTTGAATCAACACACCGGCTGGCCCCGCCCACCCCACCCCTCCCAGGAGTCTCCACATGGCCTGTTTAAGATGCAGGTAAGTGCAGGGTTCACATGGAGGCTCTGGGAGGGGGAAAATGGGCCTTCTGGAAGTCTGGAAACTGGATTGTTTCCGGCTTCCGGGGGGCCTCCAGAGCCCGAGGGGGGCCGTTTTCACCCTCTCAGAGGCCCAAGGGAAGCCTCTGGACCTTGGGAAGGTGAAAAACGGCCCTCCCAGAAGTTCTGGTAGGCCACACCCACCACGGCCACGCCCAGCCAGCAACAGGGCAGCAAACTGGTTGCTGGAATTTTTGAATAACACCCCTGATGACATCCTTCACTCACCCTCTTCTTAGCAACTGCCCTTTTAACAGTATTTGGCCCAAAGAACCAAAAAAGTAATAAAACTCGACATTGCTCTTCAAACTTACTAGAGGTACATACCTCTAAAAGCATTCTTTCGTGATGCGACTGAACTTGGATCAGGCTTTCCTGAGCGATTTTCAGCTGCATTTCCATCTTTTTAAAAGTTCGGAAATCCTTCTCCTTCTCCCTTTGCATCCGACTCAGAGTATCGTGCAGTTTCTGTTTCAAATTGGTCATATTGCGAAAACCCATTTCTAATACACCCCTAGGCAAGCGTAGAAAAAGAGCTTTTGTTATGACAAAAACAAATGGCCCACAATTGAAGCTCTCAGGTTCAGACCAGCGATAATTACAAAGAAGACTTTACAGTACAATCAAGATCAAGGAAGGTACCAATGCCACTATAAAGCCTTAGTAAGACCACGCCTAGAGTACTGCATCCAGTTTTGGTCACCACACTATAAAAAAGATGTTGAGACTCTAGAAAGAGTACAGAGAAGAGCAACCAGGGTGATTAGGGGATGGTTGGAGGCTAAAACATATGAAGAACGGTTACAGGAACTGGGCTTGGCTAGTCTAGTGAAGAGAAGGACCAGGGGAGACAGGATAGCAGTCTTCCAATATTTGAGGGGCTGCCACAGAGAGGAGGGGGTCAAGCTATTTTCTAAAGTGCCTGTAGGCCAGACAAGGAATAATGGTTGGAAACTGAACAACGAGAGATTCAACCTGGAAATAAGAAGAAATGTTCTGACAGTGAGAACAATCGACTCATGGAACAACTTCCTTTCGGAAGTTGTGGGAGCTTCATCACTGGAAGCTTTCAAGAAGAGACTGGAGTGCCATCTATCAGGAATGGTGTAGAGTCTCCTGCTTGGGTGGGGGTTGAAGTAGATGACCTACAAGGTCCCATCCAGCTCTGTTAATTTGTATCTGTATTTGGATTGGTGGTTTTTTTTTTGAATAATGAGATTTGTTCGGGGTTTTTTGCTTTATCAGTGTTTCGGATCTCTCTCATCCATCCAATTATTTTATCACTTGAGACTTTCAATAAGAGATTGGACTGCCATTTGTCAGAAATGGTGTAGGGTCACCCACTTGGGCGGGGGGTTAGACTAGATGACCTACAAGGTCCCTTCCAACTCTGATTATCTGTTATTTTGAGAAGTGGAATAGAATATGGATAAGAGACATGAAGTCCAAACCTCATTACAGGTAGTCCTTGGGTTACAATGACAGTTGAGCCCAAAATTTCTAGTTAAGCAAATTGTTAAGCGAATTTTTTGCCCCGTTTTACAACCTTCCTTGCCATAGTCGTTAAGCGAATCACTGTGATTGTTGAGTTAGTAGCACGGTTGTTAAGTGAATGGGCTTCCCCATTGACTTTGCTTGTCAGAAGGTCGCAAAAGCGGCTCAACATGACCCAGGGACACTGCAACCATCATAAATGTGAGTCAGTTGCCAAGCGTCTGAATTTTGTACTCGTAGACTTTCATTGTGTTGTTATCTGAAACTGGGTAGGAACTGGGTTAAGGCTCTTCCACTATAGTGCCTGCCATATGGGATTTCCTATAGATTTTGAATGGTTACCTTGCCGTTGGATTTTTTTCTGGATTAAAGAAGGAAGCCTATTGTTGGCACCTGGACCTTTTCTTTCAGCTGCCTTAAAAATCCCTGTTGGACTGATTTTAATAATAGTGATTATTATTAAGGTGTTCTGACCCAAACCCTTTCCCAATAAAACAAACACGAACCAAAGGGAACAGAAACCTTTTAATGATTCTTACGAATCCCTGGTTTAAAAGGCTGCTGCAAACTAATTAACTTTGATAAGCACAAGCCTCGCCAAAACTGTGCGAGGCTGCCAAGAATAACAGATAAGGTTACCTAGAAATATTTCACAACATTAGAGTCTTCATATACCAACTAAGATACTGCAATGTTCACAAGTCTCGAGTTTCAGAACGTCTTTGCTTCCTGCAAAGAACGTCCAATTCACAGCTGGCTTTTATCTTCTTGAAGGAGGGGCCATTACCTTGCAGCCTTACTCCTGAGTCGCTGCTGCAACTACTCTTTCCTGCGAGCAGCCCTGCGCACACGCGCACTTGGCACAGGCTCCTCGGGAACCTCCTCATTGCTGCTGCCAGCCCCTACAATCTCTGAAGGCAGCAGTCCACTCCCTAATGGTCCTGGCCCCTCATCTGAGTCCTTGCTCTCCTTAGACGTCCACACTTGCTGCCGGATAACCACAACATAAGGTGACCTTGTAAAGCTATGTTGAAACCATGGTAAGAAATAAAAGACATGCATTCAGTTTCACAGCTATTATGATTGTTGGCCGAGCAGAGACCAAAACAGCCAGAGAAATGATTGAACAATGGGAAATGGGCCCCTTGTCAGTCAATAAGAGTGCAGATCTACCACCAGCCTACCAGGTATTTAGGAGTCGAGGGCACTGTGGCATAAAGAAGCAACAATTAACTTAATACCCTGCCATCAACACCATAATTAACAACTACACATGGCCAGGCCCCATATAAACACAACATGTAGAACAGCCCAGTGCACAGGTTCTGAACAGAGAAAGATTCACTTTGGTTCGGGTCCAACATGAGTCCAAATATATTGCAAGAATAAACCTTTTGTTTGGACTCAGCTCCTCACACACGACAAACCTTCTGTATTTAAATCAATGATTCCTTTATTAGGAGCACCAGCAGCCCTGGCAAAAAAAATTCTCTCACCACAGGCTAACCAGTCTGTCCGGCAGGGAGATAAATAGTTGTCTGCCATATCTATTCATCTCCGACCCCTGCCTTTTATCCCCAGAGCTAGGGTGGGGCTTCGCTAGAAGCGGTGGCTCTTCCATCCCAAGGACCGGCCCATAGATTTTCAATGCTCTCCTCTCCTCTGCCTTCTGCGCATCCGCGCGTCAGGCACTGGATCCAGCTGTTCCTCCTCTTCCAAATCAGCCACCCCCAGACCTGGGGATTGTTCACTCTCCATCTGTCGCCCTCCCTCTCGCCCTCTCTCTCTCTCTCTCTCTCTCTCTCTCTCTCTCTCTCCCTCTCCCTCTCCCTCTCCCTCTCTCTCCCTCTCCCTCTCCCTCTCCCTCTCCCAACTCCATTCCCTCTTCTCCCTCGGAGCTCTGAGGTTGCCCTGATGCTGACCCTGACTCTCACACCTCCTCCTCCTCTGATTCAGCTGCTGGAGGGGCCGGTGGCCAACAAGCCACAACACCTTTGGTTTCGATGACTGATTCAAGAGCAGATCCTGCAACACTATCCTGGGACAGGTACATTTGCTTTCATTCGCTAAAAAAAAAAGTTCAGGAACAGGAAGAACTCACAATGGCCCATGACTAATAAAATCTCACCTCTCTGAAATGGCGGTGCCTTCGTTCTCCTTATTCATCTCGTGCACCTTGCTCTGAGTGTTGAATTCTCGCTCTTTGATCTCGAGCAGCGCTTTCTTCCCTTCGACCTCCTTGATCGCATCTTCTTTCTCCTCCATGGCCTCCACGCACTTGGTCTCCATTTTTTTGGACATCTCCACAAGTTCTTGCGCTTCTTCCTGAAGCAAGATTTTTCTCTTCTCTATGTCTCTGTAAGTAGCAGAGGCTGACGTGAGTAAAAATAAGGTGTCTGTGTTTCTTATTTGGGATATTTTTTAATTGGTTATTTGGTAAGTATATATGTCAAAGATTCTGAATTGCAGATCGGTTTCGCAAGGGGGGAAGTTGTTATTGTTAAAATATACTTTTTTGCTTTCCTTTTTTTGGAGGGGTTGGATTTGGAAATACATAAAAAAATCAAAAGATAATGTCTGTTTAAAATCTGCTTAGGATATTTTTAGCTTTTATTATTTCATTATTATTTCAAGAATAGAATAGAGTAGAGTAGTGTAGAGTAGTGTAGAATAGAAAATAGAATAGAATAGAATAGAATAGAATAGAATAGAATAGAATAGAATAGAATAGAATAGAATAGAATAGAATAGAATAGAATAGAACAGGAATAGAATAATAAAATAGAGTAGTGTAAAGTAGAGGTGTAGAATAGAATAATAGAGTAGCGTGGAGTAGTGTAGAATAAAATAATAGAATAGAATAGTAGAGTAGAGTAAAGTAGAGTAGAGTAGTATACAACAGAATAGGATTCTTTATTGGCCAAGTGTAATTAGACACACAAGGAATTTGTCTGCAGTGCAGCAGCTCTCAGTGTACATACAGAGGACAGCCACATGCTACATTCTACCCAAGAGCAGCGTATACATAATACAATAATGTCAAACCCAGTCTAAACATTTAGTTGATTGTGCAACCAACAATAATAATCAAGAGTTCTAAAAGAACATACTGCATTCTGCGGCTTATTTTTTCCATATCCTTTCCGAGCTGAATAGGAATGGCTTGGAGACGGACAAGTTCATCCTGGTGATAAAATAAACATAAATATTAGCCTGCGTGAAACTAAGAATGTTTAAGAATGTTTCGGGATGAATTAACTTCAAGCTGGGTTATAGCAACAATCCAAGAATGTCCTGAAAACGCATATGTATTTTTTTCCCCTTTGAAATACGTTTTGAATCTGGAAGTTGAGTCGCGGCCATTGGTCTTCTTTCTTCTGTTTTTGGTTGGAAATGTTTCGCTGCTTAGCCAAGTAGCGTCTTCAATCTGAGCAAGTGGCTTAGGGGGGCCAGGCCTGTTGAACTTGCGGACCCATGGGCCGGATATAGAAATAGACATAGATATGTTTTCCTGATAGAAAAACACCCTGATACATCCCAATACGGCCCGTGATGCGATCGGCTTTGATACCCCTGCCATATACTTCATGTCCTGCAGGAAGGTTTTACTTCTCACCTAATTTGAATAGGCTCCTTAGGGGAGTAGACAGAGGTCCGTCAGGATGTAAATCAGGGGTAGGATTCAAATTCTGTCACAACTGGTTCTGTGGGCGTGGCTAGCTGGGCATGGCTAGGTGGGCATGGCCACATGACTGGGTAGATGTGGCGTTGGTTTTTTGCAGCAAACCCCCCCCCCCCATTTTTTGGGCCTTCTGGGCCTCAGGGAAGCCTCCAGGGGGGTCGTTTTTGCTCCCAGAAGGCTTCCCTGGGGCTCAAGAAGGAAAAAAGGAAATAGAGAAGGGGCGCACATCACCCCCCTGTGCTCCATTTTGGGGCCTCCTGGAAGCCTCCTGGGTGAAGCAGTAAGTATGCGAAGGGAATCCCGGCACAGCTGATCATAGGAACAGCTGATCGTCAGGAGGGGGAAAAAAAGAAATACCTTAAGGAGTGACTGGGCGGGGAAGAACACAGTACGCGATGTCGGGCGTGCGCACAATGTCACGCATGCGCGATAAGGACTGACTGGGAGGGAAGGGGAGGGGTGGGGGAAAAGGGCAGGGCCAGACAGGGGCACGATTTGCCAATTCTCCGAACTGCACAGAATCATAACAACCGGTTCTATAGAACCAGTCCGAACCGGTAGAATCCCACCCCCGATGTAAATGCTACAATACCTAAATCCTTTACAATGAAGATGATGATGATATCCATTCAATCCAGTCTGACTCTTGGTGATTCTATGGGTCAGGACTTTCAGTGTCTCCCAATCTTGCACTGCTTGAGTTTTTCTGTTTCGGCTGGGGTCAGCTTTGTGGGTGTCCAGCCGCCGTGTTCTTTGGCACTCTACTTTCCTTTTACCATTAACTCTTCCAATAGTAATAGCCCTTAGACTTATATACCGCTTCACAGTGCTTTACAGCCCTCTCTAAGCGGTTTACAGAGTCTGCCTATTGCCCCCAAAATGGGTCCTCATTTTACTGACCTCAGAAGGATGGAAGGGTGAATGTCAAGGTTCCAAGTAACATACCCATAGCAAACAAAACTCTGAGGCTGGCAATTTCCTCAAAGAATAGGTTTATTGGATATGTCATATTGGCGTAGACTGGTGAAAACCGACTCTGAATATTCCCATGGTTTTCACCTAATTAAAAGTGAAAGTCTGTCACAACCAGTCACATGGTCCAATCAGGATACTGTCCAGTTGCTAGGTGACTCCAGTCCCCTCCTTCCGAGCACCTGCAGGAATGTCCTTGGTTCCCATGAGAAAGTATTTTGTTTTGGCTACAACACCCCAGCTATCCCCATTCCTCTTTTCCTATCCTCTTCTCCGGTCTGTCAGCACTGAAGTCTCAAAATGGCCTCAGTCAGGCCAGCTTCAGGGTTGACACTGAGTCAATCTTGAGCCTGGTGAGATTTGAACTGCTGGCAGTCGGCAGAATTAGCTTGCAATTCTATCCACTGTGCCACCACAGCGCTTGCTTTCTCCAATGAATTTGCTTTCTCCAGTGAATTTGCTTTCTCCAGTGAATTCCTCTGCATGACATGGACAAAATAAGATGCAGTTTGGTGACTTTGCCTTCCGGTGACATGTCTGGTGTTAGGCGATCCAATCAGTGGTGGGATTCAAATTTTTTTACTACCGGTTCTGTGGCCGTGGCTTGGTGGGCGTGGCAGGGGAAGAATGTTCAGAGGTGGTATTTGCCGGTTCTCTGAACTGCTCAAAATTTCTGGTACGGGTTCTCCAGAACTGGTCAGACCCTGCTGAATACCACCTCTGGATCCAATACTTGCTTGTTAATCACCTTTGCTATCCAAGGAATGCACAAGAGCCTTCTCCTGCACCATAGCCCAAATGAAACCTTTACCCTAGGTGGGGCATTAAACGTGGCCTCCCTGGTGAACCAGTGAAGTGGTCTTGATCTTCCTGGGTGATTTAATCTTCCTGGAATCTTGCTCAGACTGAAGAAGCTACTTGGAGAAGCAGTGAAACATTTTGAACCAGCAAAAAAAAATCCTGTTGCCTTGAGTCAACTTCCACACAACTCCACCTGGAGGGCTGATAATCTTCATCAACAAAATACACGTGAGTCTTTTTCTGTACAGCTTGGATGTGGACATCAAAACACAGCCCTATCAATAGGCATCTATAGGTAACCCCCCATTACCTTTAAGTCTTCTTGTTTTCGAAATAGTTCATCCACTTCTTTGTGCTCCTTAGTGAGACGTTTATGCCTTACAAACAGATCGTCTTTCATGTTTTTAATTTCCAGCCTTCTCTGCGTTGTTTCTTTACGCAGGTCTTCGCAACTGTCCCTCAGGGCTTTAATTTTCTTCTCCGCATCCTTTAAAAAATGAAATTGAGTGACACAAATTAATGGAAAGGAACAGATAGGATAGGATAGGATAGGGAAGGGAAGGGTAAGGAAGGGTAAGATAGGGAAGCTACGGGTAGGGTAGGGAAGGTAGGGTAAGGAAGGGAAGGGTAAGATAGGGAAGGAAGGGGTAGGGTAGGGAAGGAAGGATAGGGAAGGGAAGGGAGAGGTAGGAAAGGATAGGGAAGGGAAGGGTAGGATAGGAAGGGAAGGGTAGGGAAGAGTAGAGAAGGGTAGGGTAGGGAAGGGAAGATGCTTGTCAAAGAGAGATCCGATTTAGAAGTCAGGAGAAATTTCCTGACAGTGAGAACAATGAATCAGTGGACTACTATAGCTTGCCTCCTGGTGCTGTGGGTGCTCCCATCACTGGAGGTTTTCAAGAATAGACTGGGATGATAAGGCTTCTGTCTTGATGAGCGGGTTGGACTAGAAGATCTCCAATTTCCCTTCCAGCCCGGTGATTCCAAGTGTTTAATCTATTGTATTCTAGAATAGAATAACTGAGTTGGAAGGGATCTTGGAGGTCTTCTAATCTAGCACCATCCCCAGACATTCCATTAGATGGCCACTAGATAGTTGTTCATTATTATTCCTTCTCCTTTCTCCTTCTCCTTCTCCTCCTCCTCCTGTTCCTCCTCTCTTCCTCCCCCTCCCTCTCCTCTTCTTCCTCCCCCTCCTGTTCCCCCTCCTCTTCCTCCCCCTCCTCTTCCTCCTCCCCCTCCTCCTCTTCCTCCTCACCCTCCTCCTCCTCCTCCTCTCCATAAAGACCACATAGCATCTAACCTACTATCTTTTCCCCAACTCTTCTACCACCTCACCTCTGTATCTCCACAGTGCAAAGAAGGAATAATATATCCAGTTTGCTAAAAGGAAAAACCAGACTAGACTAGTAGATCGGGGACAGCCAGTAAGGGTTGCATTAATGCAAAGTACAAAAATCAGGAGAATAACTAATCAGGGCCCCTGATGGCTCTAGTCCAGATCAAGCACCATCCGCAAACCCATTGCCAAAAAAAAAAAAAAAAAAAAAAACCCTAATGCAGGATGGATTTTTTAAAACTTGGTTTTAGGCACAGCCAGGCAGGAACAGCTGATAGTTTAGGCTGCTGTGCCAGAATTACCCTTGTTTCATAGATTTATAGGAGAATTCTGGGCACATCTAATTTACAACTGCGCAAAAAAGGGATTTATCCTCAGAGAAACAAATATATGATTTACAACCTTAACTGAACTTGTCGGATCCCATGATTTGCAGCAAAATCTGCAGATTGTATTTTCAGCACATTGAATTAGGTGTCTATGGCTATGTGAGAAACTTACTTACAGAAGCTTTGGGGACTCTGCGATGGTCCTTTTCAATTAATTTCTTGTCTTCTTGTAAACTAGATAGAATAAATAATATTAAAAGGCAGCTTGTAAGATAAGATTACCTTTATTATCACTTTTTTTCTGTGAACACACTGGCAAACATTAAAAAATGAAATTCTGATGTCCACTCTCAAAAGATACATACATGCATACATATATATAGATATACGCATACAGATACACATACACACATATGAGAGAGAGAGAGAGAGGGAGGGAGGGAGAGAGAGGGGGAGGGGGGAGGGAGGGAGGGAGGGAGAGAGAGAGAGACGGAACCGGTCCTTGGCCTTGGAAGATAACACCAAGGACATTCTCATGCTCAGTTTGTGTGTCCTTCTTTTGAAGTTCACTGTCGGAAAGTTCCGATGTGTTTTGACCTATTTTCGGTTACTAATTAACTGATAATAAAAGTGCTGATTATATGGCCCCTGGGTTTGACATTAAGCAATCTCATTTTATCTGAGAGTGTCCTTCTCCAGTATTTCCTGCTCAGATAAAGATAAAGGTTCTTCCCCTCGCATATACGTGCTACTCGTTTCTGGCTCTAGGGGGCGATGCTCATCTTCATTAAAAAGCCGAAGAGCCAGCGCTGTCCGAAGACGTCTCCGTGGTCATGTGGCTGCCATGACTAAATGCCTTCGAAGGCACACAGAATGCTGTTACCTTCCCACCAAAATGGTCCCTATTTTTCTACTTGCACTTTTTACCTACTTTCGAACTGCTAGGTTGGCAGAAGCTGGGACAAGTAATGGGCGTTATGCGGCGCTAGGGATTCGAACCGCCGAACTGCCGACCTTTCTGATCGACAAGCTCAGCGCCTTAGGCACAGAGCCACCTGCCCAGATAGGAACTCTAAAATCTGTAGACTTTTGTACCAGATGAGTTAAATGTTGACGGCCTTTAGGAGACGGCACTCAGGAGTAACCAGTTGTCACGTTTTCCTTAGCTGTGTCAGTATAGGCATTATTTCAATTCCTTCTGCTTTTCTAGAGGCAGTCCTCGACTTACAACCATTTGGCCAGTGACCTTGCGAAGTTACAACGGCCCCCCAAAAAGTGACTTGGGACTGTTTCCCCCCACTTACGACCCTTGCTGCATCACCATGGTCATGGGATCGAAATTCAGACACTCGGCAACTGCCTCCTATTTACGACAGTTGCAGAGGTCACGTGATCCCCTTTTGTGACCTTCTGATGAGCAAAGTCAATGGTGCAGCCAGATTCACTTAACAACCTGGTTACTAACGTAACAACTGCAATGATTCACTTAACAACTGTAGCAGAGGTGGTCTTCAGCCAGTTCTGACCGGTTCTAGGGAAGCGGTAGCGAAAATTTTGAGTTGTTCGGAGAACTGGCAAATCCCACCTCTGATTTGGCCCTGCCAACCCCATTTCTTCTCTGCCTCCCATTGAGTCCAACTGATCATAAATATATAGCTGGGCTAAAATAAGGATATTCAGTGAGCCACTGATAACAGCTAATAGCCAACTGTGCCAGGCTGCTTAACGATCTAACTCTCAGGACTGAGGATATCATGGAAGCCATTTTATAACACTTTGGCTCAGGAAAAAAAAATGTGGCTTTTTCCATTTCTTCAGAGTTTATAGAGCCATTTGCACCAAGGGAATCGGTGCAGCCACCGAGTTGTTGTAAGGGAAGCTGAGACGGAGGCAGAGGTTGGTATTCATCTGGTTCTGACCAGTTCTGGAGAACCGGTAATGGAAATTTTGAGTAGTTCGGAGAACCGGCAAATACCACCTCTGACTGGCCCCGCCCCCATCTATTCTCAACTTCCCATTGAGTTCCAGCTGATTGGCTGGGTCTTCTTTGGTTACCCTGCATAGGAGAACAGAGCTGGAAAGCAGGTTAGTGGGGTGGGGAGGGAATGGGGATTTTGCAGTAACCTTTTCCCAGGAGTGGGGCGGGAATAGAGATTTTGCAGTATCCTTCCCCTGCCACTCCCACCAAGCCACATCCACAGAACCGGTTAGTAAAAAAATTTGAATTCCACTGTAGCTGGAAGAGTCATAACATGGAGCAAAGCTCACTTAACAACGGTCTCTCTTAACAGCAGAAATGTTGGGCTCAGTTGTGGTGTTAAGTCGAGGAGCAGCGTATTCTACCTTCTTCCTTCTATCTACCTGGCAGTTTGAAACGATGCCCTGTGGAGTCTTGTTAAAAAGGCAGTTGGCCAATTGTTATACCCACCTATTCAGCCTATACTGAATTTCAAACTCTCTCTCTTGAATGGCGTTGTACTCGTTGAAGTATCTCAGGTACTGCTGCCTCAGTTTGGAGACCTCGGAAGTGGTGCTTTCTGGAAACTGTTCGGCTTTTTCCAGTATCTCCTGCTGCTCTTCCAGCTTAACCGTGAAACGTTTGGCATCCTGCAGCAGCCGAATCTCCGATTCCTGTAAACTAAAATAAAATCAGTGATGCCTGTTGTTGTTTTTTAATCCAACAGAGATGCTCTATTGAAGAATTCATCGTGACTGATAACTATGACTTCATAGGTATATACAACAACACGTATGGGAAATAGAAGCCACGACCTTTGATACTGAGTAAAGGAAAGGAGGATTTCTTTGTTTATGCTGTGTTTACAAGGTCCCGGCCTGCTGGGATGTATTAGCTGGGGGTGGGTGGGATGGTTGATATTCCTACCTTGTGCTCTCAGAGTTGGAATGGAATGGAATGGAATGGAATAGAAGGAATGGAATGGAATGGAATAGAACAGAACAGAAGATAAAATATGGAATAGAATGGAATAGAACAGAACAGAAACAGAACAGAACAGAATAGAAAATATGAAATGGAATGGAATGGAATAGAACAGAAACAGAACAGAATAGAATATATGGAATATATATTGGAATGGAACAGAATAGAATAGAATTGAACAGAACAGAAAATATGGAATGGAATGCAATGGAATAGAAAATATGGAATGGAATAGAATAGAATGGAATGGAACAGAATAGAAAAGAAAGAACAGAACAGAATAGAATAGAAAATATGGAATGGAATGGAATAGAATAAAATAGAATAGAAAATATGGAATGGAATGGAATGGAATGGAACAGAACAGAACAGAACATCTCTAGCATTTGCATTCTTCTACTCGCTGAGATCCTTTGACAATTTACAGTGTCCTCAGGTTTTTCTTGTAATAATTAATATTCCAATCTTTTTTCTTTAGTTATTCTAAAACTCTAAAATTCTTTGCTAATTCACCTCTTCTTGGTTTACTAAAATGCCTTTAAAACTACACATTTTCAAGCAGGCTTTTCCACTTTTGATTCTAATTTTGATTGTAAATTTTGGCTGTTTTTAAATTATGGGGAGCTGCCAGCATAGCAAGTTGAATAAATAAAAAAGTTATTGGTGTCCAAAATGTATTTGACCCCCTACACAAAAGCAGGAGAATATGCTCTTTTTCTCATATTTTCTCTGTTTTTCTCTCTTTTAATACATTAGCATGCTTTTCCCTAATGCCAAGAATACAATAAAAAACAGGTTTCAATGGGGGGAAAAAAAGCTTTTTCCTCTGACTCATCATTTTTAAGCAGAGAAATAGTAAATTTTGCAATGTTAAAAAAATACATTAAAAACTCTTCCTTAAGTCAGACAAATAAAAGTTTCTTAAACTTTTTCCCTTTATAAATCATTTGCATTTCCTATCCTGTACCTCTGAACATCATTTTTTCATTGGGTAAAGATGACTTATTCTCAATATATTTTAAAGCTCTTTTTAGTTTATCATGTATGTAACACAGATATAAATTACTGACTTTGTACCTTGCATTAAATTTATCCTGGAATAAAGGTTGTTCTATACTACAGTAAACTATAAATTGATTAGTTAAGGATTTTTTTCTTACAAAGCTACAGTTATCTGGTTCACCTTACATTATAAGCCCTAGGTGACAATTTACAAAATGCAGTAACTAAGTTACACAATACTGTATAAGTCAATAAATTTCAATAAGGCTGAAACACAGCTTTTAAGTAACTATGGTACTGAAACATTATATATACATACATATGTACATACATACATATACACATACATATACATATACATGTACATGTATATGTATACACACACACACACATATATACACACACACACACACACACACAGAGAGAGAGAGAGAGAGAGAGAGAATACTAGAAGCTTACCTTACTAGAGTATCATGTATCAGGACATATTTTGCCTTCAGCTCAGCCAATCTGGTTCCAGGGATTTTTCCAGCATAAAACAGCTATGAAATTGCAAGAGATAAAGAGACTCTAGTGAAATTGTTATTCACCATATAGGAAATTTACTAACCTTAAGACAACACTAAATAAATTATAGTTGAGGTATATTTGGCAATGAACAATTAATCAAGGCATAGTTGTATGCTTGTTCCACAACTTCTGGAATATCACGGAATTATATATTTTTTAAATTAAGCAAATCTAAGCATTAATATAAAAGAGTATTCAAAAAATAATAAACACTCAATATTTATAAATACCTGGCTAAATTTTAATAAATGCACCACATTGTTGATAGAACACTGATGAAATCAAAGGGAGGATCAAAATTGAAACTATAGATAGTTCATTTTGAGACCGTTTGAAGTTACAATACCACTGAAAAAAAGTGACTTACGACCATTTTTCACATTTATGACTAGTGGTGGGATTCAAAAAAATTGACTATCGGTTCTATGGGTGTGGCTTGGTGGGCATGGCAGGGGAAGGATATACTGCACAATCCCCATTCCCTCCCCACCCCACTAACCTGCTTTCCAGCTCTGTTCTCCTGTGCAGGGCAACTAAAGAAGACCCAACCAATCAGCTAGGACGTGGGAGGCAGAGAATAGATGGGGGCGGGGGCAGTCAGAGGTGGGATTTGCCGGTTCTCCGAACTACTCAAAATTTCCACTACCGGTTCTCCAGAACTGGTCAGAACCGGCTGAATACCACCTCTGCTTATGACTGTTGCAGCGTTCCCATGGTCACATGATCAAAATTCAGATGCTTGGCAATTGCTTCATATTTATGACGGTCGCAGTGTCCCCGGGGGTCACGTGATCCCCTTTTGCGACCTTCTGACAAGCAAAGTCAAGAGGGAAGCCAGATTCACTTAACAACCATGCTGCTAATTTGACAACTGCAGTGATTCATTTAACGACAGACGCAAGAAAGCTCGTAAAAATGGGGCAAAACTCACTTAACAAATGTCTCACCTAGCAACAGAAATTTTCAGCTCAATTGCAATCATAAGTTGAGGACTACCTGTATTTCATTTTGAAAAAAAGATAACAAGTTGCAAATGGTGTGGGTTTTTTTCCCTTTCTTTTTTTAATATACCTTGTTTGTAAACTACTGCTGTGGACAGTCATAGCTAGAGTTAACCTCGCTATAAAGTCAGACGCCAGTCCTATAATGGTTGGGTTGAATGTGAAAGATGGGGCTAAGGACTCAAGGGAGGAGTACGGGAGGCGAGTTAAAAAGAAAAGAAATGAAACTACTAAGAGAATGAAATAGAAAGGAATGGATAGAAAGGAAATTTTTGGGGGAAAAAAAGTTTGGCTGTACTAAGAATTAGAATAGATAAAGAAATTAGGAATCAGGGGAATATTGTTATACATATTTTTGCATAACACATTTAAAGTGATAGGTAGAGACCAGATTTTGAAAAAGGGTGCTATTAGGCACTATTAGGCACTATTGTTATTAGAAGGATGTACTAAATATTGAATAACTGAAGAATGAAGAATTATAGATAAAGGTTCCCCATGCACATACGTGCTAGTCGTTTCCAGCTCTAGGGGGCAGTGCTCATCTCCGTTACAAAGCTGAAGAGCCAGCACTGTCCAAAGACGTCTCCGTGGTCATGTGGTCGGCATGACTAAACGCCAAAGGTGCACCGAACGCTGTTCCCTTCCCACCAAAATGGTCCCTATTTTTCTGCTTGCATTTTTACGTGCTTTTGAACTGTAAGGTTGGCAGAAGCTGGAACAAGTAATGGGAGCTAACTCTGTTACGTGGCATGAGGGATTCGAACTGCCAAACTGCCAAGTTTTCTGATCGATAAGCTCAGCGTCTTAGCCACTGAGCCACCACGTCCCAATTGAAGGATTATGTGCTGATACAAATATGTATAATAACATTAGAACCACGTAAGTTTGATTACTGTAGTAACTTTCATTTGTACTATTATTTTGTATCAAAATGAATGATACCCAGACGCCACACTGTCCATGTAATAATATTGATGTATATTTAAAAATTTAAAAAAGAAAAGAAAGTCAGACACAAGTCCTAGATGGAGCACCCAAATTTTGATCACATGAGCCTAGGGATTCTGTGATGGTCATAAGAGTGAGGACTGCTCAAGCCACTTTTTCAGTGCTGTTGTAACTTGGAACGGTCACTAAACGAATAGCCCTAAACTGAGGTCTGCAGGTAGGTCTTGACATACAACCACAGTTGAGCCACAAATTTCTGTTACTAAGCAAGACATCTGTTAAGTCAGCTTTGACCCATTTTACAACCTTGTCAGAAGGTCACAGAAGGAGATCCCATGACCCCGGGACATTGCGGTCATCATAAATACGAGCCAGTTGCCAAGCCTCTGAATTTTGATCACGTGACTGTGGGGATGCTGCAATGGTCATAAGGGTGAAAAACGGTCGTAAGTCACTTTTTTCAGTGCCATTATAGGTTTGAATGGTCAGTAAACAAACTATTGTAAGATAAGGACTACCTCTATGTCAACCAGCAGCAACAGGCCAGCTGCTAATACCTGGCCTGAACTAGTCACAAAATTATTAAAATTCGATTCAATTTTTAGTCTACAATTTAGTCTAGAAATGGTTCTGCAACCCAACAGGATGGACACAGACTTCAGAGGATAATTAGGACTGCAGAAATAATAATGGCTACCAAGCTGCCTTCCATTGAGGACCTGTATACTGCACAAGTCAAAAAGAGGGCTGTGAAAATATCTACAAACCCCTCACATCCCGGACTCAAACTGTTTGAATTCCTATCCTCAAAACGATGCTATAGAGCACTGCACACCAGAACAACTAGACACAAGGACAGTTTTTCCCCGAATGCCATCACTCTGCTAAACAAATAATTCCCTCAACACTGTCCAACTATTTACAAAGTCTGCATTACTGTTTCTATTAATCTTCTCATCACTCCTTATCACCCCTCCCCTCCCACTTGTGACTGTATGACTGTAACTTTGTCGCTTGTATTCTTATGATTTATATTGACTGTTTCCTAGTATGATTTGATTGCTTATTGTAGTCTATGACTATTATTAAGTGTACCTTATGATTCTTGACTCTTGAAGAATGTATCTTTTATGTATACTGAGAGCATTTGCACCAAGACAAATTCCTTGTGTGTCCAATGACACTTGGCCAATAAAGAATTCTATTCTCTTCTATAAGATTTAATGGACATTAATAAGGGTTCCTCATCATCATTGTGAGTTTTTTTTTAGAGGAACGGCATCAGTATTGCGTAAATATAACTCCGATCCATGTATGTACCGGTAGCAACAGGAACATTACAAGAAGGAGAATTTCCTGCCTGAGTCAGAAGTTAAGAATGTGGCCTTTGGTCAGGAATTTATCATTTTGCAGCTCTTTTCAAACAACAGTTCTCCAGGGATATGTCAACATAACAAGACTTCTAACATGAATGGTTTTCTTTATTTTTTGGGGGGGAGAATGCTTGCTATTTGATTAAAGCCCAGTCCTGAAAATGACTCATCGATATCAAAGTAGGAATTCCTTTCTAGAAGTTTAGTTCCGCCGTAATTTTATCTACAGGCAAAATAGGACTTCAGCTCTTTTTAAAAAGATTAGTCATGCCGTTTCGGAATTGGAAGGGTACCCAAGTTCTGTAACGTTGAAAAACTAACTTTAGGGACCTGCAAAATAATTCCATATTTACTGGTAAAAGCATCCTTATGTCCTGTACAGGTTGTTTCTGACTTAGGACCGCAATTGAGCCAAAATTTCCCTGGCTAAGGGAAACATTTGCTAAGTGAATCTTGCCCCATTTCCTGCCACGGTTGCTAAGTAAATCTCTGCAGTTGAAAAGATGGTAACGTTAAGGGAATCTGGCTTCTCCATCAGCTTTGCTTGTCAGAAGGCCGCTGTTGTGGTTCACCGACAGCAGTTGTGGACAGCTGAGGTCTCGAAGAGCAAGGACTCAGATGAGAGGCCTGCGTGTGATGCAGGGATGGGGCCAGGACCATCAGGAGTGGAGTGCTGCCTTCAGGGATTGTGGAGGCTGGCAGCACTAATAAGGAGGTCCCTGAGGAGCCTGTGCCCAGTGCATGTGTGCGCAGAGCTGCTCGAAGGAAAGAACAGCTGCAGAAGCATGGGTGACTCAGGAGTAAGGCTACAAGGTAATGACCCCTCCCTTAAGAGATAAAAGCCAGCTGAGAAACCAGAGTTCTTTGCAGGAAGCAAAGTAGTTTTTGCACTCAAGCCTTGTGGACATTCGGACTCTCTTAGTTTGTGTTTGGAGACTCTTTGTGTTTGAAATAGTTCTTGGCAACTTTATGTAGTGTTCTTGGCAGCTTTGCACCACCTTGGCAAGGCTCGTTCGTATCAGAGACAATTAGATTGAAACAGCCTTTTAACCGTGAAGGAACAGAATTTGTAAAGAATCATTAAAAGGTTTTGCTGTTACCTCCATTTCATGTTTGTTTCCTTGGAACAAGGTTTGGGTCAGAACAGCTGCAAAAGGGGATTACGTGACCCCAGGATGCTGTGACTGTCATAAATGTCAGTCAATTGCCAAGTCAGGTAATTTTCACATGACCCCGGGGATACTGCAGTGGTCATAAATATGAAGCAACTGCCAAGAATTTGAATTTTGAAAACAGGACCATGGGCATGCTGTAACGGTCATAAGCAGGGTTGGGTTTCAAAAATTTTAGCAATGGGTTTTCTGTCCAGTTGCTGGGTGGGCGTGGCCTAGTCGGCCTCCTGCACCACAGCGGGGGGGGGGGCATTTTTGCCCTCCCTGGGCTCCAGAGGTTTTCCTCAAGCCTCCAGGAGGATGAAAACCGCCTCCCCGGGCTCCGGAGACTCTCTGGAGGACGGAAACTGCCCCATTTCTGGCCTTCTTGAACTTCCGGGAGGCCTGTTTTTTGCCCTCCCCAAGCCTCCACGTGCCCCCTGCACTTCCCTGCATCCAAAACGGGCCACGTGGGGATTTGTGGGAGGGGAGGGATGGGCAGGGCCAGCCAGGAGTGGGATTTGGGCGGTTGTCCGAACTGCACAGAATCTTAGCTAGGGGCTCTCCCGAACCCCTGCGAACCCCCAGCAGCCCAACCCTGGTTGTAAGTGTGAAAAATGGTAATAAGTCACTTTTTTCAGTGACATTGTAACTTTGAACGGTCTCTCAATTAACTATCGGACACGTCAAATTTGTTGACGCAGCAGCAATAATAATGAAAAACAATGGGATATGGATATGCTGAAGATGCCTCAATCGATATTTCACTGTTTATATTGCTGATGGTCCAATGAAGATTGTTAAAAACATATTTGCAAATATTTTAGAAACCCAAAAAAGCGGGGGGATCTTTTCAATTGGTCAAGAAATATTGATCATAGGAAAATAAACCCTTGTTCACACAGTTCAAATCAAGGTTTAATTTGGGTATTTTCTTTTTTATGACCGGATAAACAATAAATCTAGAAGCCTCGCAGAGCTGCTCCCATCCTTTCTTATGGAAAATGTAGCTAATGAACCTGAAGGAAATGATCCTTAAATAAACAAACAAATATATAGGAAGTATATTTTGACAGCTCCCATTTTTTAGCTGATTGCAAACAGATTGATAGCTTTCTACTTAATGTTTGAATGTTAAGGGGCAATTTTACCATTCTAAACATCATTTCCTACAAGAGGTGAAATTCAGGTTGCCTCTTAAATATGTTTATTCTTGAGGCCTTTATCAGCCTGTCCATACTGTGCTCTTATTGACAATATCAAATTGTTTATTTGGAGTTCATCCAGGATGTTTTTTTAATTCTTCCTAGTGCAGACTAAACTTTGATATTTCCTGCTGATCTCTAATCCAGCAATTAACCCAGTTCGATTCTTTATATGTATACCTCCACACACAAATACATACACACGTACCAGAGGTGGTCTTCAGCAGGTTCTGACCAGTTCTGGAGAACTGGTAGTGGAAATTTTGAGTAGTTTGGAGAACCAGCAAATACCACCTCTGACTGGCTTCGCCCCCTCTATTCTCTGCCTCCCATTGAGTCCCAGCTGATTGGTTGCCCCACATAGGAGAATAGAGCTGGAAAGCAGGTTAGTGGGGTGGGGAGGGAATGAGGATTTTGGAGTATCCTTCCCCCTGGAGCGGGGAGGGAATGGGATTTTACACTATCCTTCCCCTGCCATGCCCACCAAGCCATGCCCACAGAACCGGTAGTAAAAAAAGTTTGAATCCCACCACTGATATGTACGCACATAAATTAAACATATCAATTATATAAAGTCCAGATTTTTATCCAGCCCTCCACCTGGGACACTAGCAAGTAAAACTCTTGTTCAGCCCCAGAAAGAGTGATGGGTTCTCTCAATTATTTTATAACTGATAAAATGAGTATCAACTTTTGTCATTTGAGTGCCCTGTACAATAAATGATTTATTGTCTTTCCTAATAATGATCACCTCCCTATTTCCAGGTAATTAACAAAGTGAAAGAACTAGAATAGTAAGAACTAGTACTAAATGAAAAAACTAAAAATCTTGGAAAAACCCCATCTGTAAACCGACCATTTCTTATATTTCAACAAATTATCAGTTAATTGGAGTATTACTCTTATTCCACACTTATGAAATTTGCTCTGGAATATTTGGTGTCAAACTTTGTCAAAATGGATGTATGAGTTCAAATAACGATTGGATATTCGGTAAGCTTGGTGAGAAAATTTTTGTCTTTACCGAAGCCTGTTGATCCTTATTTAGCAGAATTTTTATCATTTAAAAATAAACGATAATAAACGGCCTGTCATTTTCCACTAGTTCACCAGATTTTTTTAAAAAAACTGGGATTATATTGCCATTTTCCAGTCCATGGGCACAAAGGCTGATCTTATGAATGTATTATATGCTTTTATTGCATACTTTTTTTAAATCTGAAAGAATAGCAAATTTTACCCTTGAGCAAAGACTTGAGCATTAAGCATTTTTATTGTTTCCATGGTGATTATGAGACTTCTAGCTTTGAAACGGTGGGCTTCCTTCCTCAAATATGTTTGCTTTACAGGTAGTCCTCGACTTATGACCACAACTGAGCCCGGCAGAAGTAGTCCTCAACTTACAAAAGGCAAAATCCACTGAACAACTGTTTCGCTTAGCAACATAAATTTGGGGCTCAATTGTGGTCGTAATTTGAGGACTACTTGTACTTATGTTGCTAAGTGAGAAATTTGTTAAGGGAGTTTTGCCCCATTTTACGACCATTCTTGCCACCGTCGCTAAGTGAATCACCACAGTTATTAAATGAGTAACACGATTGTGAAGTGAATCCGGCTTCCCCACTGACTTTGCTGGTCAGAAGGTCACCAAAGGGGGATTACACTGCGACCGTCATAAACATGAAGCAGCTGTCAAGCATCCATAAATGTAAATCACACGGCCAACGGTCGTAAGTGTGAAAAATGGCCATCAGTCATTTTTTTCAGTGCCGTTGTAAGTTTGAATGGCCACTAAATGAACCATTGTAAATTGAGGACTATCTATGTGGGTTGATGACCAATTTCCACTGCATCCCACTGGGGCAATCGAAGACTCAGGAAGGTCAATTTTGGCAACATGCATTAAGACTAATAATTCCACCATTCCACCTTAATCTGTGTCACAATGGAAGGTTATTATCAAGCTGTTGCCCATCATTAATTCATATTTCCAGAACTAGAATTCTCGGTCTCCTGGTGATTGGCCCAAAGTCACCTATCTGGCTTTCATGGGTTAAGGCAGAACTAGAACTCTCAGTCTCCTGGTGATT